CCAAAAATTTCTGTTCGCCTTTACCCTAAAGACCGAAAGATATCTTTAATATTTTTTGAATTCTTCAAAAATGATCATATATTCTACGAATCTATCCACCTGTCAATCAACCCATCCACTCTACATACTGTATGTTACATTCCACGATTCCACCTATTCATTTACCTTACATGTACTTTTACCCACGAACCCGTTACATTCCATGAATGAACTCATTCTCTCATGTTTTACCACTTTCCGCCCACAAACTTTATACTTACCAAAAAATAATGCGTTTATTACTGTAGATATGTGACATAAAATAATCGGCAATATTCTGCGGGGTACATTTATGGGTGTTACTGCTGTATACTGTAGTTCATGATTCGCGATCACCACTGTACGTGATGTTTACTAAAGAAAAAAAATATATATTTGTCTCACTGTGTCGTATTTAATTTTGGAATGTTGAAACCACGAGAATAAGAATTATAAACATAAAAAATTTCTTGACACATATTTGTTTTTGCTTCTGAGAGTTTTCTTTGAAATTCAAAGAATCAAGAATTTCCCGGATCCCATCTAAAAGTTAACTTAGTAAAATGATTGACTTCGTTTCTTAACTCTTCGTAGCCTGAAATATACAGATTAAGATTCTCAAATATACACGTACCGATTCTAACATTTGTAACTTACCACTTAGGTATAATCAACATGGGAAACTCCCTTCGAAAAAAAAAACAAGGGGATGAAACTATATCAACACCACCGACAACTTCAGTATCTAAATTTAAATATATAGATGGGAGGAGATTTCACAATGTTGAGGGCTTGAAATACCCTCTTCCAAACGATGATGATGAATTAGACCGATTGCATTTACAACATTTCGTAATCAGGCATTATTTTCAGAGTAATTTTTCGGCTCCTGTCGAACATATTTTAAATAGCGATGGTTCAAAAGTGCTCGATATCGGGTAAGATAGGACAACATAAAATCTGTCTACAAGAAGTGACGATTGACTCTTCTTTTAATAAAAGCTGTGGTGTAGGCTCTTGGATGTTTGAGATGGCAACAGACTATCCAAACGCAAAGATTACAGGTGTTGACATCGTCCCTATTCAACCCTCCGGTATTAAACCTTCGAATGTCGACTTTGTTGATGCAAATATTTTAAATGGATTGCCATTCGAAGATGATACTTTTGACTATGTGTTCCAGCGTTTAATGTTCGGTTCGATTCCTCGAGATCATTGGGCCAATGTTGTTGGTGAATTAACTAGAGTTTTAAAGCCTGGTGGTTACTTGGAGGTACCGACTATTTGTAATTTAAAAACATTGTTTTAAGTATTAATCTCTGTCGTTCACTTTGAAGTTATCGGAAATCGGTCCGCCTTATGATTTGGGACCTGTTTCAACGAAACTTTTTAGGGCCGGTAAGTTGAGTGCTCCCCAAGTATTAAAAAGTTGTGATGCGAGACATTAACAACCAATTTAATGCGTCTAGCCGATGATATGCTTACATCAAGAAACCTTGATTACAAAATACTCTATAGTCTACGATTCTTCGTTGAGCAAAATGGACAATTTGAAAACATCGTTGAAGAAAAAGAAATCATGTATTTTGGTGCTACAACCGGAAAGCTAGGTCGAGCGGTAATAATTTTAACTTTATGTTTCATTATTTTGATAATAATTATGCTAAATGTTTCATAATTTAGACCGTCGATAATGTCAAGATTGGTTTTATTAGCATGCGACACTATGTGTTGCCGTTTTTAGGTGGAACTCCTGAAGAATATGACGAAATGGTAGATGCGATGGGGAAAGAAATGAGTTGTAGTGAAAGTTACCAACACATAATCCGTGTTTATGCAAGAAAAAGGGAAGAGGATTAATTTATTGAATGAATGAATGAATGATTGATTGATTGATTGTGCACTATATTCACGCGAATATGGTGAACGCGTACGTATGTACCAACATACAGTATATTAACAAACACTTAAAACTATTTAATCGGCCACACCCCCTTTGATATAATTCTAAATAAGAATAACAAGCTGCGTAATGTTTGAAGTTACCAGTAATAGGATAACAAATTGGAACAAAAAACAATCTTATCCATTAATCTTGAATTAAAACCATATAATTAATTATTCGACTTGAGAATGTTCCGTTTAACATTACCATCTTACATTAGGCTATAAATAAGATTGATTTATAATATAGAAAAATTTTAGCACAACTAGAAAATGAAATGGAAGCTAATATTTTTTAATAAATTACATGGCGAAGTGGACAGAAATCTCCACATGACCGGAATTTTCAAATAATCTATAGTCACTGCTTGCTATTGATATTTATTTTCGAAAAAAAAATTTAATTTCAAAAAAATTTTTTTTATTATAATAAACTGTATCTTTAAACGATTTTTCAATATTAATATTTAGATTATTTTTAATTTTTAAAAATACAGTATCTTGCTGATATTTTATTACAGCATATATAAAAAATCCAAATGGTATATAATTTATGTGATGAATAAAAAATCAATCGATATCTAATATAAAATAAAAAATAAATTTTATTTTCTTTGCAAATAAAATTATACATTATAAAAAAAATTTTAAAAATAAAATAGGAATAATAATTATATAAGTCAAAATCATTTTAAAAAATTAATCAAATTACGATAAAATAAGTAAAAATACAATGATTATTTTTTTGTAAACATTTCACATATTACTAATATTGTTAATTTCAAAATTAAAAACAAAAAGTTGTTATTATATCGTGTATTATATAAACTACACTAAATTATTGATATATAAATTTACTAGATTAATGTTTGTATTCAATATTTGTAAACTAATTTTTTTATCCATTAATTTTATATGCAGTAGACGCTATAAGAAAGATTTGATATTTATTTTTCCAAAATAAAATATATTGTATGATGATTTGATCATTTTTGAAGAATTCAAAAAATATTAAAGATATCTTTCGGTCTTTAGGGTAAAGGCGAACAGAAATTTTTGG